GCAGAGCAAAATAAACAAAGTGCGACAAAATGTTTCACATCACCCCGCCCCAGTGCTCTGCGTGGCTTCCAGTTGTATCAAGAATAATTAAAGGGGACACAGATGAGGATCCTTCAGAGTTTTGACACATTACAGTACACTATAGGCTCCTTTATAAACTTAATGAGAGGTTTAGTGAAAGCTCCTAAAGCCTTTTGGGTTACATGACTACATCAAAGTATGTTAGCCCTGAGTAAGCCATGGCACTCCCCTGACAGGACAACCTCATAGCCGTGGGCCTATTACCTGACAACAAAGGACAAGCCTAATCGCTTATGTCGAAAAAGACTTGGTACACTTCAGTTATTACACAATGGGCCACTCGTCTGAAGCATTTCATCTCATGTCACAGTATTACTCAGAATCCCTTTCGGCTATATATACACATACATACATACATACATACATATATATATATATATATATATATATATAATATATATATATATATACATACATATATATATACATATAATACATATACATATACATATATACATATATATATGTGTGTATATATATATATATATATACACACATATATATATATATATGTGTGTATATATATATATATGTGTGTATATATATATGTATATATATATATATAATATATATATATACCATATACTAATATATATATATATAATATATATATAATATATATATTATATATATATATATATTATATATATATATGTATATATATATATATAAATACATATATATATATATATATATATATATATATATATATGTGATATATATATAATATATATATATATATATATATATATATATATATATATATTATATTTATATATATAATATATATATATATAAAAAAATATATATATATATATAATATATATATATATGTGTATAAATATATATATATATATATATGTGTATATATATATAATATATATATATTTATTTTATATATATATATTATATAATATATATATATATGTGTATATATATATATATATATATATACATATACATATCATATACATATATATATACACATATACATATATATATACACATATACATATATATATATACACACATATATATATATATATATAATATATATATATATATATATATATATATATATATATATATATATATATATATATATATAATATATATATATATATATATATATACATATACACACACACACACACACACACACACACACACACACACACACCTCTAAAGATCTGTGCAAACTTAGAAAACTGATCAGTTTTTAAGCAATAATGCCAAAAAGGCTCTGTCAGCATCTCCTCAAATGTAAATATTCAAAACATTCCTGATTTTCAATTACCAAAAAACTAAAAACAAATAACCACTTAACTATAAAACGCTGTAGTTCACACAAAACCAAATAATTTTTATGTGATTTTGTGAATAAATATTTCTGTATTTCTGATGACTGGTAAAGAAACTACGCATCAGATTGCATTAATAAAGGAAAGTCATTTATAGTAGTACTCCTGTGATGGAAAAATACCACTTTGCTTGAAGTTCCTTGTGCGTTTACTACAGTGCACACAAAAAAAGTGGTAAGGAAATGTAATAAAGCTTAACAGATGTGTTCAGTATTAAGATTTTGACACATCAGTCCTTTTTACAACTGAAGGATTGGATGTATTAATCAGAACTTTTCTTCTGGCATTTGGGCAGTTGCCCACTTTACTCTGATGAGCATCGAGCTCGGGACAGGACAAGGCTGCGACAGCCTCTCGCCGATCTGAGCTTATGGACAGACTCATCCTCTGGCTCGCCGCTGTCTGCTATTGATCCAGACAGCTGTTCACTGAAGCAATTACATTCAAGTATACATGTACATACAAGCATGCCAAGAGGATGTTGTTAGGCACCCTAACGCCACAAGTCCATGCTCATTATGTGGGCTAATCTGTGCACTGTACAAATTCAATACTGACAATGTAGGCGCATTTGTATTCTGCTTGTTCGTTTCCCCGGAAAATAGAGGGTTTTTACAATAATGTGCGTATGCTAATGAGGGAATATACAAAAACGAATTTTTTCTGCAAATTTCTTAACAGTTAATAAGATCAATTTATACGTCATACGCTTTTTTTCAGCAATTAGTTCATTTAAACAGCTGCCTATGCAGATAACACATCTGTCACCTCCACTCAGGGGTGTTAGATTCCTGCTTTCTCTCCACTGCGCATCTTCTCTAAAGACTACAGCAAGCTTCTTACTGTATGTTTGCACATTAAGCCCCTCCATGCCTGCCTAAACAATAATGGGGATGAAGCTCCTATAGAGGACGTGAGGAGGAAATGATGCAGAAAATGGCCTCTGTGATTTGTGGCTGCATTTTGACTGTCTCTGAAGTCCTCTTATACTCATTAATCCTGGGCTTGTGGTGGCATAACATGCAAGTTGCAGGTGAAGAAGTGAGGGTTAAATATTTAAATAGTGTTCATAACATTTTTAGATATCACTTTTTGATGTTTTAAGTTTAAAAACCTTAAAACAATAAATGAAGATAAGTAAATATGGCACAAGAATCATTTCTACATTAGGGTCAATACAGTCGTTGATAGTCACAAGCCATCAGAAATGCTTAAATGCTCTGGGACAGAGCCATGAGTCTGATATTCGATCTGTACTTGATGGCCAGACAAGTACTTTGTCCAGCAATGCAACTTCAACTCCAGTGTTTACAACACTCTCAGTGCTGTCTGTAGCATGCGTAGCAGGATATATGGTCCTGTGAAAAACTGCTTCAATAGGAATTAATCAAATGCACTTGTATGACCACCTCTATGAAAGTAGATGTTTTGGCAGTTTGCTGGTCTGGAGCATACAGGTGTGTGTGTGTTAACAAAAGGCCAATCTTCCCAGGAATGGAAATCCCAGGAAATTCACCCAAAGGTCAGACCATGAGTGCTCAGAGAAACTGCAAGAAACCCAAGAGCTACATCTTAGACTCTAACAGGAATCAGAATGTCAAATGTTAAAGTTCATGATAGCACAATTAGAGAAAGACTGAACAAATATGGCTTTTTTGGTAGCTTACCAGGGGAAAGCCTATTCTCTCTAAGTGTCTTGCAGCACTGCTTAGGCGGTGCATTTAACAAAAACAGAGCATATCAGCACTGCTGGCACCATGTTGGACGGGTGATGATTTGGTCTTGCTTTGCAACCATAGGACCTGGACACTTTGCAGTCATTGAGTCGACCATGAACTCCTCTGTATACCAAAGTATTCTTGAGTCAAATGTAAGGCTATCTGCCCAACAGCTAAAGTTTGGCCCAATCTGGGTCACGCAACCGGACAATGATCCCAAGCACAGCAGCACATCTACGACAGACTGGCTGAAAAAGAAAAGAATTTAAATGTTGCAATGACCCGGTTAATGTCCAGACCTCAAGACAATTGAAAAGCCCTGGCAAGATCTTAAAAGAGTCGAACTGAAGCAACACTGTAAGGAAGAGCAGGCCAAAAATCCCCCACAATGATGTGAAAGACTGATAATGTCATACAGAAAACAGTTGGCAGGCTGTACATCTGCAGAAATAAATAAAAATAACTAAATAATCTACGTTAAATTCTAGAAATAAAGTACATAACAAAACACAGCCAGGAGAACATAATGAGCTCCAGCACCAAAAAAAAAGCTGATGGCTGCTACTCCAAAAAACTAGCAGAAATGCCAAAATCTTACTTTGTTTATGTCTTTAGCACCAAAACACCTATTTAACTAAATTTGTTCTTTCTCATTATTAAAACATCTCAGTTTGACTAAAGCAGATGTCACCAAGACAGCCCCAGCAAACACTTGTTTATTTCCCTTACAAGAAGCTACTTCATTCAGCTTTACGTCACATTTTTCAGTTTGTTGCTCATAGTGACTCTGTCCCACCAGTGGGACCCCACCCCTCAGTTTGAGAACTGCATACTGAAAGGATGCAGATTAAAATCTTTGGGAAAACAGCAAAGACGGTGGCAGAAGTGTAACTTCTGTAGTAGTTCGGGGACCTTTTTAAAAACTTTGATGAAACTTGGGGCAAAGTCAATGAACATTTTTAAGCAGGTTTTACCTGGACATGTACACTTTTAATGTCCAAATAATCAATGAGATTTAAGTTAAGATAATTTAAATTTAGATAATCCTTCAAAAAAATATTTTCCAGAGGAGTGCCTGGAGGTGTCACCATGGCAAGACCTGCATCAAAGGATCCTACCAGATAGATAGCAGTACAGACAGTAAGTATTGTGCATCTGTATAAATACTTGCCTCACATGTGATCAGTCAGGAAACCATCTGTTTGCACTGACATTTGCATGACGAATGGAAACTGATAACCGGCTATGCTATAAACTGACATACTGTCTGCACAAGCATGTTGTATATAACTGCATTGCAGATAAAGGACACAGCTCTTCCTTAAATATAATGAGCACTCACAGGCCCTGACAGCTCTGTTTGCAAAAGAGTTCAATCTACTTCCACCCTGTACAAACTCAGCTCTAATCTTGCAGCCATCCCTCTTTTTTCAGCATGACTGCCCCAACTTTTGTCACATCAGATTTCTACAAACACAGCAGCAACATAAAGGCTAAGGCCCACTGACTCTGAGATTTCTCCAGCTCTGTAGTCATATGACAGTTTCCCAAACTCTAGCAGCATGCTGCCTTAAGAGCTGAGGGTACATCAGGGGAGTTTGAGGAGTCCTTCGGGTATATTATTATTATTAGACCATGCATATAGAGTCATGACTTCCTTTGACACTTTCCTCTTGAATCCAAGTGTGCTCAGAGGAACAGCACAAATCTGTGCAGTGAACACTGTATAGGCTATAAGGGGGGGAAACATGCAGATTTATGCTCAAGCTGTGTGAGCACATTCAATAAGCAAACACATGCAACTTATAACAGACAGCATCCTAATATTTCTACATACAACCTGTCCAGTTCCTACAGGCCAAGGCCGGCCAAAGTCTCAGAGCGATCCCTGAAAAGCTGCATGTAGCTGTCGCCTGACAGCCGCCAGCGACGTGACAGCAACCACTGGATCATCCGGCGCTGACGATCTTTGATCCTCACATTTTGCACCGCACATAGATCAACCACAAGCAGCCGATCAAGTGGGTGTGGACGAGCGGCACCACCAAATGTTATCTCACAGCCACGAACGCCTCTGCAAGCGCGCACACATATACACACAAGCCTAGGCCCGGAGTCCAGCTTAATTCACACCGATGCTCGTGACAGCAGCCGTGCACAACGGGGAGGGGACAACCTGGCGTGTACCCGATTTTCTCCTGTGTTTTCACGGCAGCACTGGCTCCTTGCTGGACCCGGACTCCCGACGTTGCATAAAATTCGTTGCACGGGAAGAGCGGAGCGGCAGCAGTGAAGCGACAAAGCATGCACACACACACACGCTGACACAAACGTGATCGGAAGACAGAGGGATGTTGGAAAAAGCAAAAGAAACGTGCGGTCTCACTCACCTCCTAATCTTCTCCCCATTTTTCTCCCCCTCCTGCTCCAATCAAGGGACCGCTCCAGCCTTCAGTGACGTCACGCAGCCCGTCTCTGCAGCAGAGAGCAGCAGCAGGCCTGCAGAGGACGAGCAGGGAGGAGAGGAAGAGGGAGGAGAGAAGGAGAAAGAGAGAGGGGGGAGAGGAGCAGATGCAAAAATGTGAATCATTAAGAAAAAAAAAGCCCTTCTGTCCTCAGGATAGAGAGAAGATATTGTACCAACTCAGGCTGTGGAGGTGGAAATTGATTAGACATCATATTCATCCAGCTCAGCAGCTCACCATCACAAACTGAAAAGACAGTTTTGTCCTACCAGCTGCCTGTTTGCCTATTAATTAACATCAAGTAAACATGGGTGAGGTAACATCTCTGTCATCCAGGCAGCATGTTCACGTGTCTTTGGTCAGAAGAAGACGGAAAGGGTCTTTTAATTCAACATATGCTGAGATATATTTCTCCCATACTGGTTTCTCTTCATTGGCTTCCTGTGAAATCCAGAATCAGATTTAAAATTATTCTCCTCACATACGAGGTCTTGAATAATCAGGCTCCCTCTTATGTTAAAGACCTCATAGTACCGCATCACCCCAGTGGAGCACTTCGCTTACTTGTAGTTCCTAGGATACTTAAAAGTAAAATGGGAGACATTTTACAGGTTTTCAGAAACCAGCTCCTAGTTTGGATTCAGATGATAGACACCCTCTCTACTTTTAAGACTAGGCTTAAAACATTTATTTCTGATCAAGCATACTGGTAGGGCTGGATCAGGTGACCCTAAATCCTCCTTAATCAGGCTGGAATAGGTCTAGTCTGCTAGAGGCTTCCCATGATGCATTGAGGTTCTTCACTCACCTTTTTCACTCTGTGTGTTTATACACCACTCAGCATTTAATTAATTAGTTATTATCCATCTTTGGCTCTTTTCTACAGCACGTCTGCCTCTCTCCCTTCAACCCCAACTGTACTTGGCAGATCACCGCTCCTCTCTGAGTCTGGTTCTATAAGAAGTTTGAAGGTAGTTTTTCCTTCCCACTGTCGCCAAGTCCTTTCTGATAGGGTTGACTAATGATAAATCTAACAGTATTTTGTTTGTTGCCAATCATTAGTCAGTCCACATAACAATTAATTATCAGCTGTTTTGATAACTGCTTCTCAATTCAGTTCAACTCAATACATTTATATAGCGCTTCTTATATTGCTCTATGAGCAAGAATTTGGCGACAGTGGGAAGGAAAAACACCCTTTTAACTGAAAAAACCTCCAACATTTGAAGAGGCAGCCATCTGCCGTGACTGGTTGTTTTATTGTTTTGTTCTCTTTTTTTACACAATTCTGCATCACCCAGATGTCAACACAGGTCCCAAAAAGTGCCAGTAAATTAATAACAGCTAATTTCTTTGAGTTTTTATAGAATAAAAGTATACGTGTTTAAGTTCACCTGCGATATAAAAAATTGAAGATGCTTGGTTTCAAAGATCATCTATACAGTTTTAGAGCAAAACACATCATTTGTAACAGTTTCAGACAAGATGTGTATCTCCACCTGATAAATGTATCAGTGGCAATGTGTTTAAAGTTAGGAATTAGGATTCATGCAAGCTAGAGACAGAATCTGTGAGAAATACAATTTATCAATTCAATTAGGATAATGTGAATTCAAATAATATGACTAATGGATAATTTTGGTACATTTTCTTTGAGAGATTTAGAGACGGAACACAAGGATTTTGGATGGGCTACAGCCCGGTGATACTGGAATAACTGGAACAATGGTTAAAAAAGTCACACAAGTATTTCTTAGACATGCTTTATAGATGTAACGACTAAGGGCAGCTAGTTCAAAGATTTAGGGACTGTTCATGTTTAAGTGAATGCATTAAATTTACAGTGTAGTAACAGTTATTGCAGCTATGATGTGTTTGTCCTCCATTGTTGTTAATTTATGATGGGATAGCTGGTGTGTTTATGGCTCAAGGTGGTGTTGAGTTTGGTTAGTGACTGGCCAGCACGAGCCCCACACCGCCATGGTAATCAGTCACTTCTGGCTATTGTTCCCATTTAGCATATTAATGCTAATAAAACTGTGTTACTGGGGCAGAGTAGTGTATAGATCACAGGAATAACAACTGGAGACTGAGATCTTTGTATCATGATTATTTCATCCATTTGGATTTGCCACCATTTCTCTGCAGCTGTCTTCCCAACCATCTCAAGGATTTCACAAAAACTCAAAAAGATTGTGTCACAAACAGTCTGTCTCAGGATCTGAGGGACTTGCTTAATGCAGTTCACCATTCACTGGCTTTTGTTTTAGCTTTGATCATAACTTTTATGATAAAGATTCGATTTATTTTCTTTAAAATTATGTCAAGGTTTTCACAAAACACTCTGCTTCTTGTTAGGTTTTTGTTTTTATTTATTTATTTTATCTTTTTGGCTGTGCTGTTTTAATCTTGCTGAGATACATGTTGGGCTGCATGTGGACAGCAGCACGCAGAACTAAACTTGGCAGATTTCACTTTCTTTTGTGCTCATTTCTCCAACTCTGATGGTTTCTTGCTGTTCACTACAGGCAGTCATGGTAAACAAATCACATTTTTTATGGGTGGTTCTTTGATAACACAGAGTTAAAGAATGTTCTGGACCTTTGAGTGCAGCGTGTTTGTGTGTGTGTTATAATGGGGGTCATAACTCTTCTGCTAATCATACAGTAGGCTTCTTTGTGGTGACAGAAAAGAGAAAAAAAATAATACACAAGCAAAAATCAGATTCCAGGGATTTATTCAGCAGCTGATGTTTGTCCCATGCTTCACAGCCTGTGGCTGTATTCTGTACTAATGGTTTAGAAGTAGCAGTCTGCAAACATGAATTTGTCTTTGTCATCCACACGTTATAGCTTTTCTTTTACTTTGCATGCGTTGCTTATATACATTTGATACAAAGACACAAGCATCCATCTTGATTTTGACTGGTTCTCCTACAGAACAGGACTCACTCAGTAACATTAACAACCAGAAGTGCTAAAACTGTCTTTGTGGACACTCACTGGCCAGTGTATTAGGGACATTTTGGTGTGTTTTGCTGCTGGAAGCAACCATCTGAAGTTAGGTACACAGGATGGGCACGCTCAGCAACAATACTCAGGTAGGCTGTGGCATTTAAGAAAATATCCCCCACACCACTACACCACCACCAGCCAGAACTGCTCATACAAGGCAGGATGGATCCATGTTTTTATGTTGTTTACATGAATTCTGACCCTACCATCTGAATTTTGCAGCAGAAGCTGAGACTCATCAGACCACGTAATGTATTTCCAGTCTTTTTATTTCCCGGTTTAAGTGAAACTCTGTTAATTGTTATGATCTTTTGCATATCTTGGTTGTAATGAGTGGTTGTTTGAGTTAATTTTGCCTTACCATCAGCTGGAAGCAGGTCTGTCCATTCTTCTCTGACCTCTGACATCAACGAAGCATTTTCTCACTGGATATTGTTGCTTTTCTCTCGTTTTCTTTTCCTCTGTTAACCCTCGAGGCGAAAAATGGCAGTAGACCAGCAGTTTCTGAAAAAAATCAGACCAGACCATCTGGCCAACAGTCACGCCATGTTCAAATTCACTTAAATCACCTTTCTTCTTTCAACACGTGCCTATACGCCTGAATGCACGGAGTTGGCTAATTAAATATTTGGGTTAACGAAGAGTTGACCAGTTATATGTAATAAAATGGCCGGTGAAAGAGAATAGTACTTTCCACAGAAATGGAGGTATCATTACACAGATTTAAATCAGTGTAAAGCAAACAATGATGTTTTCATCCAGTCGGTGCTACAATAATAAAAGATGTTGTGTTTTAAAGGCTGTGAAATACTAAATCTCACGCTGTTGTAACTCTGTGTTCCTGATATTAAACACATAATCACACAATGATGCAAATTGATCCACTTGAATGATATTATTCAGTGTTTGCATGAATATGTGTTATTCGAGGCACATGCAAACACACTCTTTCTGATAATAGCTGACTAAAAGGGTGCATTTAATTAAAGGAGGTCATTAAAACCTCAGCATCAACTCAATCAATATCCTTTTGGTGTGGAAGAGGCTGAATCCTCTAGTGGGAAATTTTCAGCTTTCACAAGCTGAGCTCCAGCTTGTGAAAGCTGAAGCTCAGCTCTGCAGCTTGCAGACCTCAGAGTGAATGCACTGCCTGGTGTTTTGATTTGATTTCACTGTAGCTTAAAATGAACACAGCCACAACCAGAGGTGCTCTTATGTGTTTGCGCCTGTACACTTGACTGTGAGAGAGAGAAGACTTTAGCAGTGACTGAACGTGACGCACACAGCACATGTATTCACACAAACAGACACGATATAGTGCAAAGTCAGTACGTGAATATATTTCAATCTTAACATTAACATGTAACAGAGAGAGAGAGAGATGCATAAGGTCCATTCAGGAACTTAAGCACCACTCCCTGGTGAAAGATGAGAAATGCACTATGTGCAGGCTGAGAATACAATGAAATTAAAGACAATATATTTTTAAATATACTGCATCTAAATAAAACTGATAGACTATCGGAAATACATTTTTTGTTTAAAAAGCAGTTTGTTCTGGACATTTTTTTAAAATTCAGATGTCATTTTTTTTGGTGACAGACACTGAAATGGTGGTGTATCATACAATCTCAAAGTTATCATCAAAATAAAAAAAATGTAAAGATTCACAAACAAAAAAGAGAAAGAATCTCTTCACCTTTAAAAACAGAAAAATAAAACTTTTATTGTGGGGTCTGATGAGGAGTAACTTGCTTTTATTCGACATTGATTTACTGAATGTGGAACCACTATGTAAATATATATAGATATGTAAGTACAGTGATTGATGAAAGC